TCTTTTCCCCCCCCCCCCCCCCACAAACAAAAAAAAAAACAACTTTCTTTATTTTTGGGGTCTACTTTTGTCTTGTGTTAATAAATTCGGAATATTGTCATAGAGCAATTCAACTAATCCAATCTGGAACGAGCACTTTGGGTTCGTAGTTGAGGATGAATCTACCCAACACTTGACAATAAGAATTTATGACGATGAAGGAATTCAAGCTGCCGAACTCATTGGTTGTGCTCAAGTGGCACTTAAGGATCTCGAGCCTGGAAAGGTGAAAGATGTATGGTTGAAACTGGTGAAGGATCTCGAGATCCAAAGAGATCAGAAGAACCGGGGTCAGGTAAGAATGCTGATCAAATTTGTCATTTTCATGTTTTTGAGAGAGCTCGTGGGTGAAGGAAAATCTAGGTTTTGAATGGAATTAGTTGGTAACCATAGTGAAATTTTCATTATTCAATGCGAGTGAAGAAGAGGACAGGAGGGAGAGAGCTCATAACATTTAACTTCATGAATGTCTCATTTGTTTGACCACCTCATCTAAAAGCTTAAACTATTAGAAATGGACACATTTATTTATTTCAAATTTAACATTCAAAACCATTATGTTAGTCATTCATTGGATGTTTTAAAACTGATCATTGATAGTTGTTTACTCTTTTCTTTATTTTAGGTGCACTTGGAGCTCTTGTATTGTCCTTACGGCACTGAGAGTGCATTTATGAATCCTGACGACCCTGATTTCAGATTAACTATGTTAGAGAAGGTCCTTAACCATGGTAGTGATGGGATAGATAAGACAGATCCAATAAAATCAAGAAAGGATCCCATTGTCCGGGGTGTTCTTTCAATGACCGTGATATCTGCTGAAGACTTGCCATCAACAGATCTCATGGGGAAATCAGACCCTTTTGTCGAAATAATATTGAAGAAATCAGAACAGAAGAACAGGACTCGGGTAAGGTTTTGATAGTCCAAATCGCAGCTCACATGACTTGGGGAAATTTTATGGCTTGTCTGGTAAGGTGAACTAGACAATAGTCGACACTACTTAAAAAGAAAAGGAAGTTAAAAAATTCTACATTTACAGTAAAGTTCTGTCAATAAAGCGTACCAAAAGCTATGTCAATGTCCTAACACGAGGAAAAGTGCGTTAAGGTAAAGGAAAACAAAACCCCCCCCCCCCCCCCCCCCCCCCTGGGGGCGTTTCTTTTCATTTGTATTAATTTGGGACTTAGTTGCTGAAAATTATAGTAGTTTTACATAAAGGTGACTTCTTCTATGAGTTTCGTCATAATACCAAAAGCCTGTTTCCCATGTTGGCTGTGAATTTTCTTGAATTATATAAGGTTGGACAGTGGGACATAAAAATTGAGAATTAAGTTGAAGTAATAAGACAGAAAATTGTCCAGTAATCGCAATAGTTGCATTATAAACTCCTGTTCTGGGATTAGTGTTTTATTGTCTAGTAGCTAGTTGTTTTGTAAGTTCACTATCTTCTTACGAATAAGTGAATTAGACAATATTCTGTTCGACATGGAAGGATTGAACTTTATTAGGTGTATGTTTACTGAATAATTGGCCTAACTTTTAGTTTAACAAATGTCTCAGAATAAATTGGGAAAATGCATCATGACACTGACTCGGATTATATTGGAGGGAGAAGTTATGGACAGTTTCCCCTTAGATGGGGCTGAATCGGGAAGGTTGAATTTGCATCTCAAGTGGACGCCCCAACCAATAATGAGAGACTGATTGATTAGAGCCGGCACGAAGGTTTTATCCTGAGTATATTGCTTATAGTTTTCGCTGCTGAAATTCGGAAACAGGTTCCATAATATATGCATTTCCCTTGTTGTAATTATAATCAAGTTTCCAAACATTTGGATGTTGCATCTCCTGTACGATTGTTGAGATTCTCTGTATCTTTCATATACACACGACTCTTATACATGTCCGGTTTACCATGCATCCCTATAAATCCACCATATCTATATTCCCTAAAAATGATGAGTCCTTTGAATATCTTTGTTATGAATTTGGTGCACGATAACGACAATAATGAAATAAACAAAAACAAATTTAGAACACCAAAATTTATGTGGAAATCTAAAATAGGAAAAAATCAGAGGGGGAAAATTTCATTATAATTAATAATAATTATGTTTATAATAAGATTTCATTACTCTTAATCAAGATCTAAAGCTTTCAAGATATTGTATGGATGTTCTGTGAATAATACAAGTTGTGAATTATATAAATTTTATAAATCAAGTTGTCGGTAAATAGGAGTTTAAAAACACGAAATGGGATATCTTTGTTGCTCAGCGATAGGCTAGTATTAGGCTGGCGACAGCTTCATCGTCAGAAGAGCAACAAGTTTTTGCAGAAAATATGCAGGAGTTGCTCAGACTTTAGGTTAACGGAAATGCGGCAATCTCCTTCTCGGTTCATAATTTTGGTCTTTTCAAGAATACTTCAATCAAAACTCTAATACCCACTAGAACTTCGGTCAAGCTACAACAATCTTCAATTTAACTTTCGGGGAGAGAGATTTTGGGAATTTTATAGTAGTTCAATTTCTAAATAAATTTTGAATTAGAACACAAATTAATATCATAAATTGATGATTTATATTTATGTTATTTTTAATAATAAATTATTATTATTAATTCTTCAAGAAAAAGCTTCAAAAATTGTTTTTATCGCGCCATTTCTTGTATAATTAAATGTAAAGAAGAAATTCCAAGTTAAAACATGGAGTTTTACTTGATTATATTTTGTTTTGTAAATGTGAATTTTTTCATTGCGTCTATCTTTTAGTTTTATTGCTAGTTGTTCATTGCTAGATTTTTGGCTATTGCACACTTGATTTCAAGCCGTTGATTATGTGCTTGTCATCACCATTTTTCTTCAGGTATATTGATAATAGTTATATTCAATGAAATTGTTGGATTATTGTTGCATTGTCAGCATATGAGATGTTACCTTGTCAGCTTATTACGGTATTGTTGTTATCTTGTCGACTTATTGTTAAATAGTGTTGCCTTACTAGCTTTTGTTGAATTATTTTACTCACGATACATCAATGTTTCCTCGTTCAATTCTTTCGAATTTATTGGACCCCTTTCCACGTTCGAGAATCTCCTCCCTTCTTCCACCGTTTCAACCTTCATCTAATTCTCGAATCCATCCCTAAATAGAAGTGTGTTTCTTTGTGATTTATTTTGAAGTTATATACAATGGTTTATTGTAGTTGACACTGTCCTTACAATATTATTAAACATTTAGTTGTCAGTTTTCTATTCTAAAAAGAACAGTTGTCTTATTTAAATGCACATTATTTATTTTATGAGTCGTAGTTTGTCTTCTTATTCAATCGGCATAAATGGATATTAGTGTAGTAGAAAGCTTAATAGAAATTTCATTACAAAGCATGTTAAGAGTATAACTACGGCTCTATATATGAATTGTTGACTTGCATAAGCATCAATTGTTAATTATGTTACCCAATATTCTCTTTAAAAATTAGATATATATGTAGAGGCATGTGTGTAAAATAGGTTATTTCGATCGTCTTTGTAAAAGCGTGATATGAATGTCATTTTGGCTTGTTAGGCTATTCTAGAAAAATAAGACTTGAAATGGTTCACGTACACGCAATTAGGTCATCGAGTTTGTCGAGTTTATCTCATTATGTTCTTAAAAATTAAGAAAGTGAAGCTCATGAGAATCTAACATGCCTAGTTCATAAACATTGGGTTGCTCCAAATTTAAGCACATGAGACGACTTTATTAAAGCTTTTATCCTCCTTTGAATAATTCTAGTATAAAAATGTTGTTTTATCAAACTTTTCAATACCTTTCAACCTAAGAAAATGGGAGACACGTAACAAGAATTATTACAAATAAAGGATATGTAGTGTAAAGCAAGGAAACTCCATTTCTGCCTTTGAATCTTTGATAATAGTGGATTACCTAGAATATATTCTCAGAGGATAAGGGACTGAAAGCTTTATAAAAACTCGTTTTAATTTGTTCGGGAATATGATGCACACTATTTGTTTGAAGAAATCAACATTAAATAATAGAAGCTTTTATCTTGTCGTGTGATGAAGGTCTGAAGAGGAAGCAATACTTTATAGGAAAATTGTACCACTACTCCTTACTCTATATTTTTATTAATTAGTCATTTTTCAACCTTATGCAAGATTTGTCTCTAATAGTAGAAACTATAAATTATTTAGATTTGTATTAAATTGTCATGTAATCTTCGTATGTTTAATTTTATAAAACTAAAATTTGCATCACAACTTGGATCAATGTCCAAAAATTTGAAGTGAGTTATGCTTTTACGACGTCACAAGATATTAAATCAAGATTTAGACGGTTTTCCATGTTGTAACTTGTCCTTTAAAGGTTTTAGACTAGAGAGCTACTAAGGCAATAGCTTGGACCGGTAGTGGAATTTGAGATTTGCTACACAAACATGGTGATTTACTGGATTTAAAACCATGGAGACATGTTAACATTTCACTAGGCAGTTTTTTTTTGGGGGGGAGGGGGGAAGAGTAGTCACACAAATGTTGACAATACAGCACCTGTCAAAAACCCTGTTCATGTAGCATAAATGGTGAAAAATTTCCAAGAGAATATTTTGATAATGGACTGGACTCTTAGTGAGAGAAGTTTAGATGAGCCTTACAAATATGGCCTTGAAGCTCACTTCAGTAGGGATGGCAACAAGTCAGCGAGGGTTAGCCATTTCCGTTACTCGAAATGTTGAATATTTTCGTCATCTTATCCTGCTCTTATACATGATTAAAACGGGAATGGGATAGATTTAGGGCGGGATTGGGACAGGTGGGGCAAGTCTCATGTCCCCGTTTATCGTCCCAACTTTTTTTAAAGTTATTTTTGTATCTTTAGTTAGTGAATATTATTTGTTTTCTAATTTATTAAGAATGATTCATGTTCTCTTTAAAGTTAATGATAAAGCTTTTTTTATTTGATAAAAAATTTAAATTTGAAATTAAGTTTAAGCAGGACGAATGATGACTTTCATCCCTGCTCCCACTCCCTTTTACCCAATCAGGAGGGTAATCGTGTCCCATTTAGGACGAGGCCTGCAAGTATTGAAATGATGAATTGATGAATTTTTTCTTCATTTCAATACTTCCGATTATTTAAGAGATCACACCTCATTGGACAGATAAAGAGTTGATCACTAAAGTTGTACCACAATTTCAAATTGGTCCTTAAAGATAACTTTTTACCAATAAGTTAATAAATTTATCCAATGATTTCAATATGATCACCTTATTAGATAGAGAAAATGTCTAAGCCGTCAAAAGTCAATGGGTCAAAAGACACATTATATTTAAGCCCTTGTATGATTTTAATTTTTCACAAAATTACTTTTTCTCAAATTCATTTCAATCATATGTTTTTAATAATAAATAATTTGCACATGAATTTATAATTTTTTATACTTTTTAACCACATATCTTCATTTACTTATTTAAACATCAAAATCAAATAAACGTTAAGCATAAACTATAAATAGATAGTCTGAAACACATTATAAAGAAAAATGAAAATGTTTTGAAACCATTGAATATCAAAAGATGCCGTCTTTTTTCGTGCAATAGTGTTTCAAGCCAACTAATTCTAATTTTTCAACTTAATCCTTGTTTGACGACCAGTATTTCAAAACTCTTTCTCTATATATTCATTTTCAATTACATATTTATACAATAAAATGTTTTATACTTAAATTTCAAAACTTTTTCCTACTTTTAATTACACATTCTTAAAAAAATCATTATTCAAAACTTCATTTTACCAAAATAGTGGTTGTCAAAAAAGACTTCATTTTTACATGATTTTTGTCGATATTTAATTGCTTACCACTACAATATCCCTAAATAGAGGGACCATATTGAATCGTTTGTCATTTACTAATTTGGTGTTAAAAATAAATAAATAAATAAATTCAAGGATGTAATTGAAATTTCACCACAACTCTTGTGATCAAATGTGAAATTAAGTCGATGAACAGAACTACTGATGGTGGACTCTCTGCCTAAAATCGATCAAATCAAATTCGATTACATTTTGGACTTTTGTATCAATTGTTCTTTCTGGATTCACTATTTCTGAAACAATCGTCACGGCTATATTTTGATGTTTTCAATTTCCCCCTTTTACCCAATTTTTTGATCGTAGATCAAGCAATAAACAAAATAATGGAGAGCAGCTTACCGTTGACAGCAACTTCGTCGTCGAAATCGGAGAGACGATCGAAATCGAAGAATTCTCAGACCACTTCCAAAACCTCTCTCCTTATGGCCTTCCTCTCTTGCCTCGCCTGGCTCTACGTTGCCGGACGGTCCGTGCATTTTGTTTTTCTTTGCATTTTTGTTGTCTATGTGTGTTGGTGAAATGATGGGTTCTGATTGGCGAGACGATTTAAATTTTTTCTCGGGATCTTTTTTCCTTTTTTTTTTTTGGTATGTTCTATTAGGTTGTGGCAAGATGCAGAGAACAGAATGCTACTGACTAATTTACTGAAGAAGAATTCATTGCAGGTTTGAATTCCGTGTTGCTTTAATTTACCTTCCTTTTCATTTGTTTCTGTTTGGGGTTCCTGAGAAAATGTGGGAATGCATACGGTAAACTAAAAGGAAAAAAGGAAAAATATCTGTTGAAGGTTTTCCATAATGGGAAATTTAATGCTGACTGCAAAGAAGAGTTTTTAGGGTATAAAATGGGGAATGACTGAATGAGTTTGATTGACTTTCTATTTAACCCTTTAATTGTGTGATATGGATGCTAAAGAGGGGAATATGATTACCCACTCCTGCTCGCTATTAGAAAATATTGCATTTTAAAGTACTACATGTTGCAGCTATGCTTAGACTAATATGGATGTGAGATTTTAGTTTAGTGATACAGAACAGGAGGCAGATGAATGTGAGGTGAGAGGGAATTAAGCTATAGTTCTAAAAGGAAATATTTATGAAGTGCGTTATATAGCACATACTGCAGATACAATTATGATTGAGATGGTTTTAGCACTCTTAGACTCGATAATTTTGCTTCGTGAAAAGGAGACTAAACCAATGCTATATGAAGTAATTTAATAAAGGTGTGCTAACTGGTGGTTGAACAAAAGGAATTGGTCCTAGACGAAGTTGACGAACAAGTAAGATTTTATTTTGACGGGCCTAGATGTTTGGAATGAGATTAAAAAAAATGGAGTTATTTGATATATCAACACTATTAAATTTTATATTGTTCCGGTCTCACTACTAATTTTGTGAATTTGGTTGCTCAAAAGATCAGATGCTGGGTTTGAGTTTTTGTTATTATTATTAAATCAATTAGTGACGAGTGGAACACTGGATGGGGGAGGAATCCCCCCCCCCCCCCCCCACCAACCCATACACACACAAAAAACACACTTGACTAAGTAAATACTAACAAACTATTTTCTATGCTCTTCTATTGGCAGCGGCCGAAGGTGCTTACAGTGGACGACAAACTAATGGTCCTAGGATGCAAGTATATTTCTCAATGGCCCCTATTTACTTGCATATTATTAGATAATATGCTCATATAATGGGTAAGTTTTTACTATTGAAGATGCACTTAGGTTTTTTATTGTGACTTTTTTAGGGATTTGGAAAGGAGAATTGTTGATGCTGAAATGGAATTAACACTGGCGAAGAGTCAAGGTTATCTTAAGAGCCAAGTGCAGCAGACTGGTTCCTCTTCTGGTAAAAAACTGCTTGCTGTTATTGGAGTTTATAGTGGTTTTGGGAGTCGTTTGCGGCGCAATATTTTCAGAGGGTCCATGACATCAAAAGGTCAGTATAATCTTGATTTCTTGATGTGATCCTTAGATTGATTATAGTGTCTTTAAGCTGATACTGTATTGATTACGAGTGTGTCCATACACCTTATGATATTGGATTTGTTAGTTGATAAAACTGCACATGGTCCTAATTTTCAGCTCTATCTTTGCACTGTACAAAGACCTGATACGGCATTCAACATTTTCCATAGGTGGAACTGATACTTGCTGCATTTTGTTCTTCTTTGAACCTTCTTATTCTTATTTTCCCAGGTCTATTGTAATTGAAGTCTATTTTAACGTATACATCCAATCCACACCACTGACACCAGCTTTAGTAAATTTGAACAATTTTAAATGATAACAATTTGTCACCTAGTTCATTGCCAGGAAAATGTACTGTGAGCTCCACAACTATGTTTACTTACTGCTTAACACCTAGAATGCTAGCCATGTCTATCTTAATGTGTACGTTTCCCCCTCTCCAGCCACCCACCCAATAAAAGAGCGGAAACAAGGAAAACCAAATCTAGTGCAGATCCCAGTTTAAAATGAGTGTTATAGATTGATTTTCAATTTTATTTCCCTTTTCTCATGGATTTACTTTTATTTGTAAAAGCAAAACTACCGCTGCTCTGATATGCTGTTTGTCTACTAGATTAGTATGCTTTCAATGTGGAGATTGCATGCACATATATATTTAGATGTGATCGAAGTTAGAAGATTTTAAACTTAAATTTACTATAATGAGCCTGAACTTCTTCTTGCTTTTCAGGTTATACTCTACAGAAGCTCGAAGAAAGAGGGATCATTGTACGATTTGTGATTGGTCGAAGGTTTTCCCTCACTTAAAAACAATGTTTCCTAATTAAGACTATTCCACACACTTTTTTCCTTGTCCTTTTCTCCTCTGCCCATCAATGTTTATTGTCTTGTGAGGATTAACCAAAGTTATCAACCGAACATAATTCAGCATTAATCAGATGCTTGAATTTTGCAGCCCTAACCGTGGTGACAGCTTGGACCACAATATTGACGTGGAAAATCATGTGACAAAGGATTTTTTGATACTTGTAAGTTATTAATTTTTTTTTGTGTTATGCTGATTCGCAAATATGTGTTGTCACTTTTCTAATTTGCATCTGAAACTCTTTGTATAAAGTAACAGCTTTTCTCTTCATTTATATCTTCTATTCTTCTTTAGTATTGGTTTTTTTTTTTCCTTCCCAATTAATAGGAAATTAAAATGATAAATGTTTACTGTCTGTGCAAATTTAAAATCTTAACAGATGCATTATTATTTTATTAGGATGGTCATGAGGAGGCTCAAGAGGAATTGCCCAAGAAAGCAAAGTTCTTTTTTAGTACAGCAGTCCAGACTTGGAATTCTGAGTTCTATGTAAAAGTTGATGACAATATTGATCTTGACTTTGGTAAATGCTGACATTTTTCATTTTATATTTCTTCTAAAACATGTCTGCTTGTTATGTATCTTCGCTTCATGCTTTTAAAAGTTTTTATCCTTGTGACTTAATTTACATTAACACACTAATGTGGGAAGATTTATAACTTGATAGCATATACTCATATATGCTATATTCTCTTGGCAGATGCATTGATTGAACTTCTCCAGAGTCGACGTGGTCAAGATGGTGCTTATATTGGATGCATGAAGTCTGGGGAAGTAGTTGCTGAAGAGTAATACAAATTATTTTGATTTGACTCAATTTTACTTTACATTGTCTGTATTTTTTAGCTAGAGCTAGTTAGTCTACCAGTGGCACTTGAAAAATTAGGCAATTGTTTTTCCCTTTGTCTACAAGTAACGTAGCTGTGTAATTGCTATTGTTAACTTCTGTGCTTTTATTTGTGCACACCCCACTTCCTCATATCCTGCTTCCTTTGACATGTTTGGTTAATAAAAATCTGTAGATCATTTTAGCAGCCATCTTGGAATTTTGCATGGTGAACTTGGTACCGTGGCATCAAATAGTCTCCTCTCCACATCAAGTAGTAGTAAATGTATGCTATTAATATGCTGAAAAATATAATAACTGATATTCTGTTCCTATGTATATTTGGTCATTCCTTTTGAAAAATACAATATCTGATATTCTGTTCCTATGTATATATGGTCGTTCCTTTTGATATCTATGGTTGTGATTTCATCTTGGCCACGTCCTTTCACAGTGCTTTGAGGTCTTCTGTTATATTTATTATGTACTACCTTTTTTTACATGTAAAAGAATTTGGTTTTGTTACAGAACTACATCTAAACTGTTATTTTAGTGGGATTATGCAGTATTCTTTGTGGGCATTGTTGTATTTGCATTACTTTTGATCTATGCTACATATTATCAAAATGGCTTAAAGTTGCATATTTTCTCATTTGAAATCTATGCATACAAGTTAGTCTCTTTCACTTATCAGTCACCATCTTAAATATCTAAATATTGTTTAAATTTCAGGGGAAAACTGTGGTACGAGCCTGAGTGGTGGAAATTTGGTGATCAGAAAACGTAAGTAAATCAAATAATTAAAGATCAGAAATTACATTTGTTTAAAGTTATTTCGCGGTTGATGGTTTGGTTTTGAAAGCTCGCACAATTACACATTTCTCAAGTTATTGGCACCTAATGTTTTACTCCAGAAGTCAATGACACACAGTGGATTCATTTTAAGACGAATCTATTTGAAGAACATGTTGATAGTGGGGATGTGTCGTCCTACCAGTAGGTTGTTTTCGTTGTTTTTTTTTTTTTTTTTTTTTTTTTTTGTGTGTGTAGATGTCGTTGGGAGGCAGAACCATTATTTTGGGGGACCATCAACCCTAATTTTGTTCTAATTAATATATTAAGTGACACCAATATTTCTTTCAGGTACTTTCGCCATGCAGCGGGTTCTATTTTTATACTGTCAAAGAATTTGGCTCAGTATATCGACATAAACAGGTTAGTTTTCGGAGTGTAAGTTAAAATCATATTTTGATTTTCAAAAGACCTTCAAGTTAAATCCATCTAGCTACTATACAAGTTTTCCCTTTACAGTATCTCCTAAATGTTTGTAATGGGCGTGATTTTATTACCACATTTTATATTACAATGTTTTGAGAACAAGAATCTCATCAGTCATGATAAGATCAAAGGTTGTACTATCACGATAAACCAAACAGAGTTAGGATCATTCTATCTTCATTAGAACTCTGGTTGTTGCAGATCTTTAATATCGTTCCATGCTGCCTTCATGCAGTGTATCTTTGAAGGCTTATGCTCACGAGGATACATCAGTGGGGTCATGGATGATGGGTCTTCAAGCAACTTACATAGATGACAGTCGTTTGTGCTGTAGTTACTCCGGCCAAGGTAAGAACATGTTTGCCACATTGTTTAACACTTTATATCCTCTCTATGCTATTTCCCATTATCTATTTTGTGATATGTGTTGTCCTGAATTAGTTTTTCTATTAATCCAAAGGGGTTGGTGTTTTTCTTTCTTTTGTTTTCTTTATGGCTGGGGTGGGAGGAGAGAGAAAATAGGAAGACAGACCAGCAAAAAGGAAAAAGTTAAAAAAATAAAAAAATTAACATATAGTTTTGAGTGTACTGGTTGCGATTATGATTGTTTTAGATTTATCAATTATAATTCCCATTTTGTACAGGTTAACCCAACTTCACATCTTATTAACATCTAGTTTTGAATTGTTGTATTACAGACAAGGTGTGCTCATTGGCGTGAAAATAGAAGCTAGCCGTTTTCCATCAAAGTAGTACCCTTGAATCCTGTATGGGCACTAAACACAGAATTCGATGCACTTTTTCATTAGTGCAGATGGTACATATGGAATGTGGTCGGGGACTTGATTCTTTGTAGCATCTAGTTACAGGAATGATTCGTGAAAAGTATTAGTTAGATCATTCTTTACATCGAGTCAAATCTTACTCAATACATAGGATGTACACGAGTTGGCTGAGACTCTGCCTAAAAATCTATAACGTTTTATGGAGTTCAGCTTTAGGTGTATAATTCTTGCCATTTCAAGTGTCCTGGAATGCTTAAATTACTGCTGGCACGGCCATAGCCACATCCTGGACCAACTAGGGCCAAGCCAATACAATTTTATTATTCTTTTTTGAAAGAAAATATAGACCATGGGTCCTACGAGCCTAGCTATGCCTAGCCCAGATGTGGGGCCATCCGAACCTGGACAGCAGGCTTGACATCCCTAGGTGCATTTTGATCTTATATTTTCTTTTTTTCTAAAGACCAAGATGGTGGCTAGTATATGATCTTGGCCGGGTTAGCTTTAGAAGTTACGTGCCTCTAATTTTTTGAACTAAAGAGCCAGATACCAATTGAGTCCAAGCAATGCATACTTTGGCTCTTGGGACTCTGTAATTCCTAGAAACTATATTATTCTTTATCTTTATAAAAAAAGATTTAAAAATGTTGAAACGAACTGGAGCTCTCAATTAACCTAGGCTCAAATACCTAGCAATAATCATTCAGTCTCATAGAAGTAATGACCAAAATGGTTTTAACTCTTTAGTAGGCAATGAAGAAAAGGATTGATTTGCACATTTTCCTATTCGTCTCGACCAAGAAATTCAACGATAAATTACGGCAAGAAGAAGCAGAATATAAACTAGCAACAGCCTATCATCAATTGATTCCAACATACAATCGAAACCCATTTCAGAACAAAAAAAATAATAAACAAACAAAATTATAAACTTCGTGATTATTTTGTAATAAATACCGTAATCGTGCTGCCTTTAACTTCATCGGAGTTAAATCCAAAACCCATGTTAGTAAACGTAGACAAATCCTTCGATAAACCCTTGAGTAATTTCAACTTGTTCTTAACCTTCTTCGTCTCTTTTTCCTTAATGTTTTCCTTCTTTCCACACCTTATTATCCCCGAAGACTTATTGTTGTAATTGTAGTACTCCAAGTGACCCGTATCAGAAAACCCACACATCTTTCCGGGTCTCAAAGAAAATCCAGATATTCCGTGACACGGATTTGACAAAGAAGATGATGAAGCAGAATAATTAGATCTTGGAGCATGAATATCCATTCCAGCAATAGAAAAACAAGAAGATTGACCCAATACAAATCTTGAAACCTCCATTTTTAGCTAATCTTCTTTAAAACTTTGGCCTAATTTCTCTGCACTATTTTTATGAATAATTTGCTTTATCGGAGTTGCCGAGAATTGAAGTTTTCTTCCGATTAGGAGTTGGATTTGCTTTTAATTTGGAGCACGAAGCTACTTTGGATGACAAGGACAAGGACCGAAGGTACACGTGGACTATTCTTATTGGTCAAAAGTTCAAGAAATCCGACGTGTCCTGGCACCTGCGCGCCAGAAGCCGTTTTTAGATTCCACGTTCCTGCCCTTCTTTAGACGTACGACATTGGGCGATCGGAGCGGTTGGATTAAAAGAAGGGAAACTAAACGGTTAGGATATAGACACCTCCTTGACACGTCATACGCGAACGGTTAGGATTTGGAAAACTCCCTGGCACGTCAGACGCCAGTTGGATGTTAAACGGTTAGATGCTTCGTAAAGAATATACGGATCTATAATACTTTGGATGTCATTGTCTCGAGAAATAAAGGATTAATGGAATTTTCTGGCAACATTTGGCCATTGTTTGAGCCCAATTTTTTTGGAAAAAAATTACATTCTTGAATAGTATTTTGACTCCGTTTCAATAATACGTTCTTTAATAAAATAATATTACATGAAAACTCAATATTTTTAACTACACATTTTACAATAATACACTATTCAAAAATGCATTTTTTTAAATTTTAAAAAAGGGACTCAAACAAGATATTAGCCTAATGAAATTAAAATCAGATTTTTAATAAATTTTAATAAAAAAGTATGGTTATGGTTAAAAAATTGTATATCTTACTACACCTCAAAATCGAGGCTTAGGAAGAAGCCAGCTCCTCAAATCGAGGCTCAAGAAGCTCAAACAAAAGGCCTGAACTCCAAGTTATCAAAAATCGAACTGAAACATTATGCAAATGGTTGAAGCCCTGAAGTTGAAGTACTGTGTAAGCGACTGAAGCCTTGAAGCTAAAGCACTATGTAATTCCTGAAGTCGAAGCACTATATAAGTGATTGAAGCCTTGAAGTCAATGTATGTGGCCGAAGCCTCCATTAAGCGAAAGCCTCCTAATCATAAAGGAGCATCTAACATATTAACTTCTCCTAGGAGATCTTTTGCATAAAGATCTTATGCAAATAATTGATGTGACCCATGTTGTAACAGAAGAATGTCAAATCTTGTCAACCTATTACATAAGTACTCAGACCTAGGCCCTAAAGTGGCTACCTTTTTAGAGTGCATCAAATGATGCATGGCCTAGCATGTGAGAATTAATGCTAGGATAAGATACTTCGATTAAGAAGATAAAACCACATGCCTCCTCATTCAATAGATATCATTTCATATGTAACACTATAAATACCCATTCCTTATATCATTTGAAGGGTGGTGCAAGTATAGGCATTGGAAACGAGACTTCATGCCCTTTCATTCTATACAATTTGAGCCAGATGTTTAACTTTAAAGTCCTCGAAGGAATGAGATGCAGTTCTTTAATCATTCCAATTAGAAATATCAATTCGAAATATTTTATTTGATTCAGTACTGGAAAGAAAGAAGATTGCACGCCGCTCCTTTACCAAATTGGCTAACCTAAAAGATTTATTTATTTTATTTTTTTAAGATAGGAAGCCTGCTGAGTTTAAGTGTTTTTTTTTATTGTTCTTTATCACACAATCTTGTTTATATATGTCATCAACACTTGAACATTTTTGTCTCGCGTTGTAAAGCTTCTCCCCCGCTAAATTTCAAAACACTTTGTTGACTAGTAATCTGTCTAAACATGTTGGAGTCAGCTTGCATAGGCACGAGAAGGCCCATTATCTGTTGTCCACGTGTCCATACAAAAATTGAGGTCAACATATCCCATGAACCATTGCGTGCAGACATTTTGAGTTAAAGGACATAATCAAACTTCAAAAAAGTTGTGAAACACATAAAAACATTCGATATCTTATTACGGAATAATTATTTGAACGGTTATTGAACTATACCAAGTACTACTATTTAATAAATAAACTTAAAATAAACTAAGCTATGCATCATGCTACTTATTTATCATTCAAGTTGATGTCATTTGTTGAACCTAACTAATCTTCCCACGTGTCAAACATATTTCCTACGTGAATCGTATGAAACATCTATCCAAATCCACGTAATCAAAGAATGTTTGCAAAACACAATTTAGACTGAGATTTTAATGTCTTATCGTCACCCTCATTATTAGAATCTATGAATTCCAACAACAAGATGTTAAAAATCGCAACCTAAATCATGTTTTACAAACACACTTTGCTCAAGTAGATTTGGGACTATGTTTGATACAATTTATGTAGGAAATTTGTTTGACACATGGGAAAATACGTCAAGTTCAACAAACAGCGTCAACTTGAGTGATAAATGGATAGCACAATACATAGTTTAGTGATTATTGAGACATAATTTTAAGTTCAATTATTAAGTGATAGCGCTCAATATAATTCAACGAACATTCAACTAATTAACCCTCTTATTACATTATTCTTTACTTGTTATCATTACTTTATAATGTTCATCATTTTCATACTTTGATAATTCTTCTTTTTACAATTTTACAGACTTTTAGTTATCCTAGTTCCTCATTTTTTTTGGTGTGTTTGCCATCTATCAGTATAATCCTGAAGCATGCTTTCCCGAGTTTAGAGCACCCAAAATAAAAAATAATAATAATAAATAAATAATCTCTTTTACTATAAAAGAGACTTCAATAATTTTATATATATACACACCTCACTATTATTTTTGGAGGAGGACTAACTCTCCACTATCTTTTTAAATTCCCTTTCTCACACTCCTCTTTCTCCGTCGTCTTCCTCTCTTTCTATGATTCTCCACTCTTACATAATACATACAGGCAACAGACGCATATATATAGACAGAAAAGTCGGTGGAATTTCCGACTTTCTTTATCCAGATGAATCCTACAATGTCAATGAATTTAAATGCATATGTTTCTCCAGATTTTTGTAGCTTGTAGTGGATATAGATTATTTATTGAGTGGATTGTGAATATCTTACTCACCTGGAATGGGAATAGCCCCATGGATTGTGAATTCTGAAATGGACTATGCTAAAAGTACAAAACCAATTATAAAAAGTTTGACAAACTCGACACTTGGCGGCTGCCTGTTGGAGGGGAGGCTGTGGAGCCAACCACCCCTCCAATAGGGGCTGCCAAGTGTCAAGTTTGTCAAACTTTTAGTAGATTATTTTGTACACATATATTAATCCTTCTGAAATATATCCATTGAGGCAACCCCACTGATTTGAATTTTGCTACTCAACTGGGGGCTGTCAGGTGGTGATCTGAAATTTGAAATTTCATATCAGGGGCTGAGATCACACAAACAGGGCATGTTTGTGTAGCAGCTCTCCCGTGATTTTGTAAACACCCCCCCCCCCCCCCCCCCCCCCCCCCCCCACCCCACAAAAAAAAAAAAAAAAAAAAAAAAAAAAAAAAAAAATGGAAAAAAAAAAAAAAAAAAAAAAAAGAATTCTGTCCAAAAGTTGGGGATTACTTAACCTCGCATGCCCCCAACCCCATCCGTCCCTAACTACAAATTGTGTGGTTAAAATTAATTATTGAATTTGACTTAAATTAAAAAACTTAAGGTTAATTTCGGGAAAATTCCAAAATCTGTTCTCGTCTTACAACTTTTGAAGTAATTTAGTTTCTAACATCTTGAGTATAGTAATCAATTTTGTCAAAATTGAACCAATTAGGAATTGTTTGATTGGCTTTATTTTGTATGGAAAATGTTTATTTTCCATCTAAATTTCTACTTTGGAGGTGTTCGATTAACATTTTTTTTCCATGTAAAATACTCTCTCTCTCTCTCTCTCTCATCTACCCACCAATAAAAGATTAACAAATATAA